TTTTTTTTTTTTTTTTGACATATTGAGTGACAGCTGTCAGTACTTTCAAGCTATTTATACACCGTGCACCGTACCGTAGGTGGAAAGAGACGTGGGTTCAGTGCACTCCTCTCTCCCACTGTCTGCAGGTTGTTTAAACTCTACAGTGCAACAGACCTTTTAACCTGCACTCGGCACACTGCTATGAGAGTTCTGTTGCACACAGTCAAATACCTGAACCTCTTTAATGAAGAAGAACACCGTGTCCAGACACCGAAACTGGCATCAGCAATGCACGGCCACAATCTTAGAACAAAAGGCAAAAGATCATGATTTGGTTTATACCTGCCTCAGGTAACAAATCATTTTTTTAATGAACATCTTGAACGTGTCTCTACAGGTGTAGTAATACCTAAAAGACCTACAAAGGTGTGAATGATCTGCCAGGGACTGAATGAGACTTACTCATAAGTCTGCAGAGATTGTTCTTTGACTTATTTGGGCCTAAAGACAAATGGAAGATTAGTCTGAGGCAGGTTTAATCAATCCTCACAGTGAGGTTGTAAGCAGTGTCCTCTTTTAGAGGAGTTTATTGCTGTGGGTTGACCTGCTCCTCTTCACACAGAACAGATGATGTAGATACCAAACCACTCAACGTGTGGGACTAAAAGGAGTTGTCTAACAGACAATACGTTTATTTTATATGCCTGCTTGTTACACTTTTGCATTTTCCAACCCTCTTACTGCTCTTTGGTTGTCTGATTCATCTCTTTGGTGTGTCTATTTTAGCGCTCCGATGCTTTAAATTATGACATACCAACATTAAAAAAATATCTTCATAAAGTTTAAATATTCATTTTACCCTTGCTATTTTTAACAGCCAGTGACTTACAGATGGAAATTGGCCATTCTAGGCTCACTCTAGCAAATAATTCAAATTGATGAGTAGAGTGTCTTTGCCAAGTAAACCAATTAAGAAAGCAAAGTGAAAATAGCTCTGAATCCAACCCCAACCCAACCCCCCCCCCCCAACCCCCCAGGACTCTCTGAAGCAATTCATTTTCTTTAG